ATAGCAATATTGACACAGTAGAGGCTATAATTATCACCTCTAATTTAATGTTAATAGTTTTTAATTATTTGGTTAAACTCAGCTCTTTCACAATTGTAATATTTCTATTCTTCATAACAAGGTATTTTGACAGGAGAAGAAAGCGATCAGCATTGATCAATGGGACTGACAGACGCCGTGTAGGACACTTGAATTATAATGGCTGTGATGTGCTCGACAGACTTCGTTCTCACTATAATATACTTTATACAGTCTTGTGTCAAGAAAGAGTCTAATTGTAACTTTAAAAGCAAATACTTCAGATGTCAAAGTGAAATGAATATTTTAATGAAGAAAAGTGATAGGGATTTTGTCAACAAACAAAATTTCTAAAACTGTTACTGTAATCGATGCCAGTTTGTTTGTCTGTGTGTTGAACATCCTGCTTTAAACAATGATGTACCCCATACAGGAAAGTGATCAGTCTGCGGTCCTGCTAACTTCTTCTGTCTTCTATAAGACAGACGGGTGCCCTTACTCAAACAAACCTTTTCATAAATACTGCTGATGTTTGCATGCTGCAGTATGTATTGATTCTCAACGAGCTCTCCGTTTACTTTTCAAAACAAAAATTGAATTAGAACCATAGTTTAGTTATTTCTAGCAGATTTTTCATTGATGAGTCAAGGATATGACGATATATACAATTTAAAAAAAGGTATTTCATATATGATTTATTAAATATCGTGTTCAATACGGTATAAAAGTCAAGACAAGTTCAATATTTAAACGTCGAACAATGAATCTAATTCAGGAGATGACACTAAATGAAAAGGCTACTTATTCCGTCTAATCTTTATTTTCTATCTTTGTTTGTTTATTTGAATTTGATAGATCCAAGAAAACGTGAAGACAAAACCATAATTTTGCTTTTATTTGTTTGGTGGTATATGGTGACAGTAGAACTTTGTCACAGTCCAATATGAGATAATTCAAAATGCCTGAAGATGTATTCATAGCGATCCGAGTCATTTGATCAAATATAGTCCTTGTAAGTTAACTACATTATCATGAGAGGGCTCTTATCTTATTTTAGCCGTAATACTCTCGAGAAAAATCAATTGCTTAAATTGGGAAAATAATCAAGTTTGCTTATCAAAGAAATAACTTTTATTTTCCTCCAGGAAAAACTATATGTCGAAATAGTTAACTCGTCTAAATCGCAATATTTTATCAATTGATGGCTTAATATTCATTTACAGTGTTACGATCACTTCGGAAATTTGGATTTTTTCCACAATTCAGACTTGCGACCAGCCCATCAACTTCACTTGAAAATGGACAGTTAAATTAACCCCATAACTATTACACTGTCAAGAGTCAATCATAGAAAATTATATTTCATAGCTGCCAAATTTTCATAATTTCTCATTATATCTGAATATTTTTCGTAAAGTTAACGTAGTATGATCCGACCTGTAAACTAATGAACCCGGATAATCTAGTCAGGCGAAAATGATAAACAATTAAAGAATTCCTTATGTGGTTAGGAATGTAAGAAGAAATTGAATCTTTTTCGTTTGATGAAAAAAATATATAAAAAAGGAGATTTGGGGCATTGATCAATGTGGCAGCAATTCCAAAATACTATTAAGGGGACGACCATTTGATATTCTGGGGGGGGGGGGGGGGGGCAGGAGGATTTTGAAAATAAATAACTCAGCCTTGATAATCACAAAAATAAATGGTTTGTTCTGTGGTAGTCTGAAAATAAATTACCTGACTTGCAATGTATTGAAAATAAATAACTCAGCAGGTCTAATCGAAAGTATGAGATGGCACCAGATTCTTCATAAATTCATCTTTTTTCCAAAAAAAAAAATCGGGAAACACTTCCCATATCTTTTAATAATAAAGGTATAAATATTATTTAGATATACTTGAAATGTCAGAAAATTGGTTTCATTTAACTTGAGGTTAATTGTCTCAGGAACACTTACCTCACTTTTATTAAATCAGGGCCGTAACTACATTGAGACAAATGCCTCATGTAGGAAATTTCAAAACCAAACGCTTGTCTCCATATCAAATTGTGTTCACCGTGAGTGCCTTGCAAGAAGCAAGTTCTGTTCTCCCTCAGACGTAGCCCCTGATTTTTCAGGATCAATGTTTCTTATTTATTTGTCTTTTGTTCGTTGATTGCCCTTCTGTATTCTGTTAGTGTTGCATTCATTTTGTAATTTAGTAATTTTATTATTAACTTGATCATGAGTTTAAAAAAACACAGCAGCCACAGACTTAACTATGTGAATTACATTTTTGCTTTATCATGCATATTTGTCTTTTGATGTTGTTCCTAGAAACTTAAGTCTTACACTCAATCTATAATGTGATTTTGCTTTGAGACCAAAATATTGTCATAAAATTATTAAAACAGAACTTGCATTTTCAGTTCAAGAAAGGGTCTGGGGAACACCCAGAAGGCATGATTTTGCATCATTTGTTCTATAGCTTCTTGGGCCTTCAGCGGTTCAAAAACCCTTCAAAAAAATTTTGCCTCGCTCTGCTCGGCGAAACATGTTTGCCAATACTTTTAAAAAAGACTTAGTTACAACCAAACTTTAATACTGTGTATGTATGCAATACATGTTTATGCATTGGGGAATATAGAAGATTCATTTCTGCAGAGGATAATAATTAATTCTGATTAAATGGTACATAATGACTTGACTATACATGAATTATTTATAATAAACAATTAATTTAAAATTGTATGTTTTTCGAATATTATAAATATAGTTGTGAAAATAAATAATCAGTCCCTTGCTTTAATGAAAATGAAAAATCTTGCTTCAATAGTGCAGAAAATAGATAATCTGTCCTCTTAGTTTACAAAAATAAATAACCGATCCAAAACAAATCCTCCTGGCCCCCCCAGAATATCAAATGGTCGTCCCCTAAAGCAGAAAAGTAACCATAGAGGTACATATATGGGCTGCCATGTAATAAAAGTCTCACTATCTCTATAACATAAATCAAGCTCTTAATCTAACTGGTCTAGGAAGCAGGCTTTAATTAAGCAAGGACTACGTTGGATCGATACAGAAATGTATAACAAATCCAGCCACTAAGATTCTTTGGACATAAACTCTACTGGACCCATCAATATCAAGATCAATGGACTGACAAATTGTGCATAGAAGAACAAACAATAAGCATCAGATTAAAAAAAAATAGCGCAACTGTATATAAAATGGAACGGGAACCCAGTATAGACTGAAGTGTAGATGCGTTATTCCTAATTGGCTGCTGTACAGAGCAATACTGTTTTGAGTATGAATAATGTCATCTATTTCCTGGTTAAAATCGAAAATGAAATGTTGACAACCATATATATTTCAGATTCGCACAAACATTCATTGAAGTTGAAAATTTGACGAATACCCTTTGTGGAGCGGGGTGAACTATTGTTTTAAGTACTTAAGCTACGTATACCGTTGGTTCGTGGACAAAGTCAAGTCCTATATATATATGTTTATGATAAAAATCGTTGACAAAAACATTCAAAGCGTTTACATTTTCCTTATGTCCGCAAATCGAGATGTTAGAATTGTATAGACATATTGAATGTCATAAAATGATTTCAATGAACTAGAATTACCGGTACCAATTGTTCTGCACCAGATGCGCATTGCGACAATGTATGTCTCTTCAATGATGATAGAGGCCGAAATTTTGAAAATCCAAAACTTATTAAAAAATTATGAGCTTATAAACTAAAAAGGACAAATTGTATATATAGCCAAAGCTAGGCTATGAATCAAAGCTTCCATGAGGAAGATATATTCCTTAACTTAAGATAATTTCACAAACTTTGTATTAGTGAATTTTAATAACTCAATGTTTGTATGTTCATGCCAGTATCAAAGTACTTGCTTCTGGACTGGTGGAAACCGCGAGGAATTAACAGTCCTCTAGCAGAGGTATCGACCATTGTATACGCCAAAAAATCACAATTTTTATATTTTTGACATTTCAAACCTCGTTTTCTCATGATGACACAGAACATTTTAAGCTGAGAAAATTTAACAGTATACGACATTTTGATAACGAATCAAATGTAAGAAGCTTAAGAATTTAATTTTATTTTGACCACCTCAGTAATTGATATGTTTTCTGAGTGTCAAATATTTGATGATCTTATCCCGGGAAATGTCTGATAACCACCCTAGAACTAAACTCTAAGTAACACAAGTACGTCCCCGGGACAATTTATAATAACAATAATCACCTGTCAAAATATAAATATACACACTCAAAATATTTTTAATCGAGGGGTTGTAACTACATTCATAACTCTTATTTCTAAAATAAGATTACAGTATAATGTCCCGATCTCAGTTTTATAAGTATGTAAAATATCGCCTCTTATTCATTATGTTCGTTTACTTAACTGATATAGATATTATATTGCCAAAAGCCAATGGGTAAATACCACAATAAAGAGTCCGTGAGAACGAGATGACTCAATAAAAGCATTTAAAACATTATACGGGTGTTTCACTAACATTTGTGGTATTTTCGACCTGGTGAAAATTTAGTACTATCTGTTAATAAAGTAAGATTATATCAAAAGGACAACACGAAACCTTTAATTGAAACACAGACAGAAAAAAGGACAAAAGATAATAAAATTGTTGTACATTAATATACTTAAAAGAAAATAAGAAAATTGACATAATGTAACGAGTAATACGTCTGCAGATTTCTGCTGCAAAAATTACATAGAGTAACAATCATATGTTCCGTTTTAGCAATTATGGGGAGTTAGTATTGCGAACGGTTTCCAAATAAACTTATAAGCAAATATAAAATGAAAAAAAAAAATCACTTTATTAATTTCGTGATTCCGAAGTGCTTTTCGGGATTTACCTTCATCATGCAGAAACGCTCAACCCCAAACATTTGAAAGCTTAGGTTGTATAAGACTAGATCAAAGGGGACACTTTTATTTAGACGCATGCGCAAGATGGACAGACGTTATTTTTTCTTCTCTTGTAAAATGGAATAATAATGTTATAAAAAACTGTTCCAGCTACTCCAGAGATGAGCCAAGAAGTATTCTGTAAAGTAAAATGAATCATACATAATATGTGGTAAGCAGCATTCTCAAATTTACCATGGTCTTGACATTTTGATTTGTGTGTAAATGTTTCGATATAAACGGTGACCAGTATTCATGGTTGTTGTCATACTCAAGTAAATGCCTATTGGTCAGTCAACGATAACAACGTATACAGAATACACAGAATACACTTATACACAGAAATATAAACAAAAATATTCTTATGATGCGTGTGCAATAAATGTCAAAAACCATCTCAAGCCAAAAACGCAGAAGACACTCGACGGAACCATCGCCGGGAAAAAGCCAAAGCTTCAGCGAAAAACCTTCCAGCAAAAAACTTATCACTGATAACGAATTTAAAACTGTAACTATGTCTAAACAAAGTCAACCTCCTGTTTCTAACCCATCTACACAAAGTAACCAGTCAATTTTTACAGATAACGATGTTAATAGACTAGCACAAGCGGTTAAGGCCATAATGTTCGAAGACCTGCGCAATGAACTTAAATCCGACTTACAGATGTATTGCAACAGCTTAACCGTTCCACTTTTTACTGAGATTGAAAAACTTAAAACAGAAAATATTGAACTGAAAAAATCCATAAACGAGGTAGGCAAACTGAGTTTAAAAGTGGACGACTTAGAACAGCACAGCAGGAAGAGTTGTATTAGAATAAGTGGGGTTCCTTATACCCAGAGTGAAGATACAACAAAAATTCTATGCGATATAGCATCTAAACTTGAAGTTGATTTACAAAGTAACGATATTAGCGTATCGCATCGTTTACCAACTAAAGAAGGCCACAAGCAAATCATTGCCCGCTTCACGCACACCAAGAAACGTGCTGAATTTTTGAAGGCAACAAAAAATATTCGAAATATCCCAGATTTACATGGTGTCGGAATAAGTCAGGACTTGACCAAGGCACGTAGTAGAGTTGCTTTCTTAGCTCGTGAAGCAGTGAGAAAGGGTAAACTAAAATCATCCTCAGTATGGGACGGAAAAATATTCTTAACAGCCAAAAATGACGATAAACGCATTGTATCTACCGAATCTGAATTGAAAGACTTCATAAACGGTAAACCAGGTCTAAGACGAAGTGATATAGAACACAATGTTGTTGATATGCCTATCGCTCGTTCCCCTGGTACTCCTCATTATCTACCAAACAACATGATGTTTCCTCCACAAATGATGCAATACCAAAGCGGGGCCCAAGCGATGTACCCGCAAATGTTTGGAATAATGTCTTGATGTACTTTAAACCAATTAAAACATTATGCATATTGTACTGTGTTATCTAATTTAATTTGAACACAGAAGAGTCTTGACTTCATCTACATACTTTCATTAATTTATTTACTTACAAAACTCAATGTATAGCATTAAATTTAGTGACTTAAAGGTAACTTTTTGTAAATGAAAGAAATGTATTCTTCTGTTATTTAAAGAGTACCCTGTCTAATATAACGTTAACTTTCAAAGATAGAAAAAGAATAAATTCAACATTCAAAAATATGTAAATTCACATATTCAAAAAGTCAATTCTACTTTAGGCTTTGTTCGTCAAAAGAAGTAAATTTTTTTTAAATTTTTTTTCTCGCTTTCTTCTGTTCACGGTAGAAAAGTTTTTGAGCTAGTCATATACAAGGATTTAATCTTGCCCGTATCAATTCAATATGTTATCTAATTATAGTAGTTTATTGTCTCGTTGTTTACACTTTGTTTGACCACTACTTACATTTTTGTTTATATTTTATTTTGCCGTTCATCAATCTGGTCACCTGACCTAATAAAAATCCCACGGTCCAATAAATTAAGTTGTACTGACAATTTTAATATAAATCTCTCTCTGGAGATGTGTATTCGAACTCACCAAACTAAAATTAAGTGTGTAAATATGTTTATGATTGTTTGTAGTTATTTTGTCATAATTTATGGAAATGTAAATAGCACGGGTGACAATTTTATATATATATTAAGGCTGAAAGTGTTTAATGTAGAAGAAATGACCACTCTGACTCACTGTTACGCTTCTTGGGATACCAAAGTTACTTGATGGGTATTTCCAGCGCACTTTACAAAGTCAGAGTGGGACTCTTTTACAATCGAGCCACTAGAGTTAGGGAAAATAAGTTGTTAAACTTAGATGATTTTGTTTTTGTAAACCTATTTATGCAGCATAGTTTGGGAGCCATACCTGTAATATTATTGTTAATCATATGTAAATCTGAACTAAAAACCAGACTTAATCTCAAAGAAAATTCAACAGTTAATAATGAGATATTTTGTCAAAAGGAAGCCAAACACAGTCGGGCTTGGATACTAAATTTTTTACCAAAGTGTTGTATCATATATTGTGTAATAATGAAAATTGTATTATTTATTGTGCTATTTATATTGATATTAGTCTTGCTTTTGTCTGGGGACATAGAAAAAAATCCTGGTCCATCATCGCTATATTCTTCAGATAAATCCACATTGTCATCCGCATCAGACCACTCCTTTGATGAATTCAAGCATTGTCTCTCCAAATTTATATCATTTGTGCATTTAAATGTTCAGAGTTTAGAGCCTAAACTAGATTTAATAAATGTCGAACTTCAGCACCTGGATATACTCTGCTTTACGGAAACTTGGTTAAAGCCAGATGTTCTCGAAAATGATGTTCTGTTAGACAATTTTGTAAAGCCGTTCCGGCACGACAGAGTAGATCGTATCGGTGGTGGGGTGGCTGTTTATGTGAAAAGTTATCTTTCTGCAAAACGGAGATTTGAATTAGAAGTAAACGGGGTAGAAAGTGTTTGGCTAGAACTAAAGTTAAAACAAAATCGACCCTTTTTGCTCGGTACTTTCTATAGGCCTCCCAACTCATCACAACATTTGTTGAACCTTATAGAGCATTCTTTTGATCTCGCTTCAGATACTGGCATTGAGACCATCTTAATTGTAGGCGATTTTAATGACGACCAAACGAATCCACGGCAATCTAAGATGAAGGAAATTTTCACAAGATATGACATGACCCAATTTGTAGCGGAACCTACAAATTTTTGTGAAAATTCAGCATCTATTATTGATTTGGTTTTAAGTAACAACTCGAACGCAGTAGACTTGGTCCATGTAGGCCAACCGTTTCTTCCCGCCAATATTCGATATCACTCTCCTGTTTACGGTATACTAAAATTTCACAAACCGTCAAATACGTGTTTCAAACGCAAGATATGGTTGTACGACAGAGGCGACTACGACCTTTTCCGTATGATGCTTTCAGATGTTAACTGGAACGATTTTATTGAATCTAGCAATAATGTCGATTCGCTTGTCGAGAGATTTTCCGAATTATTAATAGATTTTGCTTCGAAAGCTATTCCCAATAAAACTATCATAGTCAGGAAAACCGATCCTCCGTGGATGAATAATTACATACGCAGGACTATTAGGAAAAGAAACTGTATTTATAAGAAGGCGAAAAAGGCAAATAGACCCGAAAACTGGCTACAATTTCGCAGAAGTCGAAACAAAACTGTGAACGTAATACGGAACGAGAAGACAAAATACTATGACAAATTGATCGAAAAGCTTAGAACGACCATGTCTTCAACCAAAGTTTGGTGGAATTTAGCCTACCACATAACAAACTTAAAATCTCGAGACATGAATATCCCGCCTATCAATCTAAACAGCTCTGTAATTGATGACGATAAACAAAAGGCCGAGGCATTCAATGACTATTTTGCGTCACAGTCTAATATCGACAATAGCAATAAATTACTGCCTAAGGACGACATCCCTCTAGATAGACGATTAAGTAGTATCGTTTTCGAAACGTACGAAGTTAAAGACATTCTTCAAACTCTAAATGTCAACAAGGCTTCTGGGCCTGACGCTATAAGCGGTCGTATTCTCAAGCCGGTTGCCGATATTATAGCAAAACCATTACGCGCTATTTTCAACTTAAGTCTTAGAACAAAATTGTTCCCGTCCGCATGGAAGCTAGCTAATGTAATTCCTTGTTTCAAGAATGATGATAAAAGCATCCTTAGTAATTATCGTCCAATATCTCTTCTCTCGGTGATGAGTAAAGTTTTCGAGCGTTGTGTATATAAGCACGTATTTAACTTCATACGAGTTTTGATTACCGAGCACCAGTCTGGTTTCATGCCTAACGATTCGACAAGAAATCAGCTCTTATATATTTGTAACGTTCTTAGCAAAGCCTTAGACGAAGGCAAAGATATTAGGTTCATATTTTTCGATATAAGTAAAGCCTTCGACCGTGTGTGGCATAAGGGATTGCTCTATAAGTTGCAAAGGATGGGAATTGTTGGTGACCTTCTCCTGTGGCTTAAAGATTACTTGTCGAACAGAAAACAAAGGGTTGTCATAAACGGAGTAGAATCTTCCTGGGCGGATGTAAATGCTGGAGTACCCCAGGGTTCAATTCTTGGGCCCTTGTTGTTCCTCATTTATATTAATGACATTATTAACGAAGTAAGCTGTAAGATTAAACTATTCGCGGACGATACATGCATCTATGCTGTTGTAGATAATCCACTAGTTTCATCGATTTCTTTAAACTACAACTTGCGTAAAATAAATAGCTGGGCGGATAAATGGTTAGTAAATTTTAATCCGTCTAAGACAGAATCCATTGTATTCTCACGAAAAAGCGAACCAGATTATCATCCACCTTTGAATATGAATGGCGTCATAATAAAAAGAGTTCAAACTCATAAGCACTTAGGATTAACTTTCTCGAGTGATGGAACATGGAATCATCACATCGAAAAAATTACATCAAAGACATTACCTCGACTAAACTTACTGCGTCGCCTAAAATTTAGGCTTGACAGAAGATCTCTTGAAAATATGTATTTTAGCTGCGTACGCCCATTACTTGAATATGTTGATGTTGTCTGGGATAACTGTCCCGAATACTTAAAAGCCAAGCTTGAACATATAAATTACGATGCTGCACGCATCGTTACTGGTGCAACAAAACTCACCAGTCTACGCTTACTTTTGGCAGAATGCGGATGGGAGACTCTACAACAGCGAAGAGATAAGCATAAACTTTTACTTTTTCATAATATGGTGAATGGAAAGACCCCATGTTATCTAAATGATATCCTACCCGATCAGTTTAGAAACATACACCAGTACAGAACTCGTTACGCAAATAATTTTCCATCAGTACCCTGTCGAACTACTTATTATATGAATAGTTTCCTTCCATCAACAGTTCGACTTTGGAATAGCCTTCCCCAAGATATAAAAAATGCTGGTTCTATCGCTCCACTAAAAGCCTTTCTTAAGTTAAATCATTCTATACCAAATTATTATTATGCAGGCAGTAGACTAGGTCAGATATATCATGCCCGAATCCGTACCGAGAGCAGTAGTCTTAGAGATCACTTGTATCAAAAAAATTTGGAATCAGACCCATTTTGTAAATGTAAACAGATAGAAACCTCGGAACACTTCCTTCTAAACTGTCCCATTTATCATCGAACTCGTGAAGCCCTTTTTGTTAACCTAGTTGGTACACTTAACATAGATACGTTACTTTTCGGTGATCCGAACATTACAGATATAGACAATAAAAACAACTTTCTTATTGTTCAAGACTATATATTGAAAACTAAGAGATTCACAAAATCATTCTTGTTGGCTCAACAACATGTCACCCAATATTAAAAAATACTATCTGCATTATATGTTAATTTCCATTACATTTGATTTCTTTTTCTATGATATTATGTTATATGATTGTACATTTCTGTCCATTGTAATTAATTTTGCCGTTCAAAAGGAGAGGAATTTGTATAAGTGACCTGTCACTTGTTTTCCAATCCATGCATTGTATTGATGTACGTATTTATTTATCTGGTTCTAAATAAAATATTGTTTACACTAAAGGGGACACTAAAATATAGCCAAATTCATTTAAAGTCATCTTTGCATGAAGGAGTTGGAACCTTAGTTTAAATAATAATTCATTCTTAATAAGGACTGATGATTCTTTAGAAGACCGTTTTTTTTCCATACAAACAAAACTATAACGTTTAGTTTTATTGTACCCGGATATTGCGCATTTAGATATGAACATCATATATTGTTTCTTTTTTTCAGATATATTTATTCATTTAAAAAATTATTAGGTTGTTAGTAAAATAGACGATCCATTTAAGCTTAACCAATTAAAGAAAGAAATTAACCCACACTGTGATTTCAAAAGTGTAAAAATATACGTGTGAATTTTTGTGACTAATTTTGATTCTGGG